GAAAGGGAATCTCCTTTCTTTTCATCAGTTAGGTGATGAGCTGTTGTTACCTAGCCAATGTCCTTCAATTTCTTCATGCTCTCTCTACTTTAATTTTCTGAAAAGATTCTCACTTTCTTGTCCTAAGGGGTTCACTTTTTTTATTTTTTCTTAAAATTGATCCTAGGGTTCTTGAAAGAGGAGATTTGGGTAAATTTTATTCCTGGTGAATTGGAATTCTTTTTTCCTTTACCTTTTTCCTTTGTGTTTACAATTAAGGGTTCCCTTTAGCTTTATTTAGTTCCTCATCCCTTAAGTGCTATAAAAGCTGCCTGGGGTTTTGTTTTATGCCTTGTTGAGCCCTGCAAGAAATTTACCATTTAAATTTTTTGGTCAAAAGCCAACCTTTTTCTGCTTCAGTTAAAAACAGTGCCTTCTCTGGTCTAATAATTGGGGGTTGTTTTTTTGAGTTCATCTAAAAATTCTGGGGTTTACTTGTTTTATCATAATTTCAATATGGGGTCTGAAGAAATTGGTTCAATACATGAGAGTGTTGAAGACATGTCAATTTGCTCTGTGGACCCTTTTTATAGCTGTGGTTGGGGTCCAAATTTTATTGGAAATTGCTCTCTGGTTCATCAAAATGAGTTTGCTGATAATAATCCACAATATGGAGGAGTTATGTCTGATAATCACACAATGGGAAACTCCTCACATTTGGTTAGAAACTTTGGAAGTAAGACTTTTTCAAGGATGGTTTCTCATGAGAATTCAGAAGATGTGGCTTTAGGATCTTTGCCAAATGCCAAGAGGAAAAGAGAGGTGACACAGCTTATCTATGGTGTTTTTTTACAAGTTTTCGGTTAATTTTGAGAAGTACCCTTGAAGTGTAGCTTATTTATAATGTGATTAACCCTGTATTATTATTATTTTAGTTATTAGTTGCAAGAAGTTCATATATGCTTTATGAAACTACTGTTTTTTTTCAGATGATGCTAGTGTTAGTAAGTAATGACATTTGGGTTTGTTTCTTATTGATCCATAGAATGTTGAAGTGAAACAGAGGAATGATAAAAATGTGGAAACTTGTGAATTTCCTAAAGAAGATGATAAGAATTTGCGCGGTAAGCAAGCGGCTGGCAAAACGAAGGCCGACGCCAACAGTGCGGAGCCTTCTAAAGAGAATTATATTCTTGTGAGAGCTAAAAGGGGCCAGGCCACAAACAGTCACAGCCTTGCAGAGAGGGTAATCAATTATCTTCTCACTTTATTTCGAAAAAAAAAATGCTCGGTTTGGGGGGATCATGAAAATGGTTAAAAATGTAAATTTTGGTGTGCAGCTGAGGAGAGAAAAGATTAGTGAGAGGATGAAATTGCTGCAGGAACTGGTCC